TGTAAGATAATCAGTATGATGTCATCATCCTGCGATAAACATAAACAATGGCCYCTGCTWGCCGCCACTGGCCGCTGCTAATGCTGCTGAAGATACTATTTAAAATCTAAATTCAGGAATGTGTTAATAAAAAACAATATGAGTGGTACCTGTGCTCCACCAGCCATAACTGCAAGTTTATTTTCTTATAGTGAAGCTTTAGCTGCATTGGAGCACTAGCGGTTGCTATTGTCTCAGAATGATGACATCATAACATGAGCCGAGCACCAACAGCAAAGGATGCATTCCATTCCAAAATACCTAAATATGAACTTCAACATTTAAGGTTTAACTTTTAAATTTAGATTTAGGATTTAATATTTAAATATATTTTTTAACAATAAAAATATAACAGAGTAAACATGAGCTAAATGTAAGAATGGTGAGCTAAATAATAATAAAATGTTATGAGCTAAATAATGAAAAATATGTTAGTGAAACCTTTCAACATTTCATTTTACACTTGGTGTCCCATAGAAGGACTATGTTGACTTTCAGATTTTTTTTGTTTAGTGCTAAATTTAAAATTTGATGTTAGATCAAAAAGTTACAAACATTTATTAGCATTTTAGGTGTTTTAAGTTATGGATTGCATTTCGTTAGCCTCATAGCATAATTGCCCAAGACATATTTGGRCACAAATGACTTAGGCATACCTGTATATGTTATGAGGCTAACYATWTGTGTTTTATTCTGGTATTTTGTACCTTCACAACTTGGAATTCGACCAACCCACTCTCCATTTTCATCACAATAAACCTCAGGTGATCCTTTCAAGATTTCACTGCTCGACTTGCAGCTAAACCGAACTACGTTGCCAAAGTTTGCTCCCTCTGGATCCCCTATGATGTGGATGTTTGAGGCAACATGAAAAGATGGACAACGAATGGCTGCAAAAACAAACAATTGTTAGTGAAATTCAAAAAGAGTTATAAAATTAGAAAACTTGTTGATTTCAAGTCATACGTTCGCACACAGGAATAACCCCATCCCAGCCGTCTGCTTTGCAACGCCGGCGATTTGCTCGACTGACCATATGATACCTGAAATGAGTTTATTAAAAAAAAAAAGAGGAAATCATAAAACAGCCACATTTACAAAACCAACATGATCAAAACCCATAGTGTACTTTTTGTTGAGAAATAATGAAGTATTTTTATTATACCCTTTTTGGCACTTATAAAGAACTTGTGAACCAAAGATAAAATCGTCTCCAATTTCAAGTTCAAAATCTGCAAACTGAGCTTCCCCGGGATGGCCGCATGATTTTGCTTAAAATATGCAGACAAGAAAGACTTTGGGTGAATACAGTGCATTAAAAACATACTGATGTATGTTATTCCATTTAACAAGAATGTGATCTAAAAAAGGGATGTAAAATAACTTACCTTGGCATTTTGAGCCCATAGTTACCCAGTTTCCCTCAGAACAGATCAGCTTGAAAAAGCCAGAGTAGCCAACAGTGCAGGGCACTCTCARTTGTTTTCCACTGGGATATGTTGCCGCCATACCAGTTGTGTCAAAATTGGAATCATAGAATGGGCCTTTTAAAAACTTATCGAGGGAACACTCTGAGGGACGGCAACCAGTAAATACAGATGTGCATCAGTTTGTTGAAATCAAGAACAAATGAATATAAAATTAAAATAAAAACTAACAATAACATCATTTCTAAGACTTACCTTGACATTTCACAAAGGTCAGTGTTTGCGCCCACAAAAGTAGGACCCAGATTTTAGTGATTATGTTCATTTTATCCTCATACTCTGAACCACCAAACAGAGCAAGACCCCACAGAGCACCACACTGTTATACAGAGAAGMAGCTTTGAATTTCATTGGAGAGGAGAGGAAAAAAAGGAGCGATTGCTCAATGATTACTCAAGTGTGTTCAGACTCACAATCTGGCTCACAAGCTGAAAAAAAAGAGAACAAACCACCCCCAAAGCATATACTGTATTTTAAACACAACCTTAAATGTACTAAGCTCTGCTTTAAGTATCTGCGTGCAGACAAATAACATTTAAACTCCTGAATAAGTTTAATAAAAACATATATAAATTTACACAAAAATGCAACACTCACAAATTATGAAGTAAATGTGTATAAGTGCAAATAAGTGCGAATTAATTGCTGTTTGGAAA